AGGCGTCCCTAATTTTGAACTGATAGACTAGAAAGAAGAGAGTTAGTCAACAGCACCCACCGCCAACTGTTGAGCTATTCTTGTCTGGCCGAACAATAGGATTTGACCATTACTCTTATAGCACACACACATGGCCCTAAATTACGAAGCGCGTTTTTAAGGCAACAGGATGCGAACCACGAACCTTCAGGTTCTAAATTCGGGAGGTTTAACTACTAGGACTCGCCCGACCTGTTATTGAGAAAAATCAAGCTAGCCGCGATTGTTAGTAGGGAAAATTATTATACTACTAGTCCGGGTAATGGCTCTGTAGCTAGCGTGCACCGATCCAAATTCGAAGGTCCAAGGCCTTCACCAACATTTCTCTGAATATGTAATCAGCTTTGAATGTGCTATAAGAATTACAGTCAATTCCTTAATTCTGTTCAAAACTAAACAAAGCCCTTACGGCGACTGAAGCTGGCGATTTGCTGTATTCCCTTTGATTAGTAGTTCAAAATTAGGGACAGATAAACCTGAATATTAGCAACCTCTGACCTGACCGTTTAGCCCCACGTGCTCATCAAGATGCCTTTCTGTTATAAATTTCAGTACCAATATTTAAAGACCTCAAACTGATTTATTGATTCATATGTTCGTGTAATCTAAAACTCTGAAAAATGAACAAATTCTATGAATGAAGGCGTTAATCGTATGTTCGAGTTTAGAATATTGAATTTTTTTGTGTCTCATTCATACGGACACCTCGACTGATCATCGAAGTATGACAGCTATAGCTTCTTGTGTTATCTTGAACAGAAGTGTGTTAAAAAATAATACCACAATGTCGTGTGTTCTTGTCATTATGGAACAGTGCCTAAACAATTGGACATTTAAACATTTGATCCACCAGAATAGTATATTTTTTTTCAAGAAATTAAACCGTGTACAAGTATGGTTCTGGCGTAAGCACTTTGATCTCCATATAAAGGATGCTTATTTAACTTTCGATCAAAATTAGCTATGTGGAGTCGTTATACAAGAGGCCTAAACAACATAAACAATAGTACAAGAAAGGTCAAAATAAAGTATCAGGTGGACAGTTTCCATTACATGATCATGTCACAGCATGAATATTTGGAACAAAAAATTTTGGTCGAAAACAACTGCTTTGTCAGGTGACGTAGATTCTGTCAACGTTACTGTCCATTTTATATTTTTCTTGACCTACTTTGACAAAAAAAAAAAAGTGTAAAAGGAATCTTTTCCCATTCTTTCAAGAAATGTAAAGAACGTTTCAAACGTCGAGGAATATTGTTCTTGTTTGAATTAGACATAGAAGAACAATTGACTTTTGACTTTCACTGAGATTTGCGAAAACTAATAAAATATAGTTTTCACACAAATTTTTTTCAAACTTCTTTCCTGGTTAAGAACCACAGAGTTTAGTGTTGCAGTAAAAATATTTCAAATTTGATCTTTGACCTGAGCCAGGATTCTCAAAATAACGAGTAGGACAGATGATGTAACAAATTTGTCAGAAATACCCTTAAAAAAACTGCTGAAATGGGTGGAATCTAATAAGACAGAGGATGACCGACAGATTGACTTTTAACAGAAGCTGATGTTGTATAAAACTCTCTGGATGACCGACAGATTGACTTTTAACAGAAGCTGATGTTATATTAAAAACTCTCTGGATGACCGACAGATTGACTTTTAACAGAAGCTGATGTTATATTAAAAACTCTCTGGATGACCGACAGATTGACTTTTAACAGAAGCTGATGTTAGATAAAACTCTCTGGATGACCGTCAAATTGACTTTTAACAGAAGCTGATGTTATATAAAAGTCTCTGGATGACCGACAAATTGACTTTTAACAGAAGCTGATGTTATATAAAACTCTCTGGATGACCGTCAAATTGACTTTTAACAGAAGCTGATGTTATATAAAACTCTCTGGATGAC